GAGAACTCCTTCGAATTTGTTAGATATTTCCCCTAAGACAGTCGATTGAAACTCTCAAAACTGGGCTCTGAACCGGCCAAAGGCAGCTGATGCTCAACGGAGGTGAAATCAAGTTTGAAGATGTCAAGATTCACTGAAGAACTGAAGTGCACGTCCATCGCCCCCGCCATTGTACCCGTAGCGAGGAAGGGCACGTTCGTCACAAATGCCACCGACGTCGATCTATTCACTTCCTTTATGCACGCCAAGTGGATCACCGTCATGTTTTATACACGCGAAGATGTCAAGATTTGCGCTAACCAAAACTATACCATCAGTGACAAACTTGAAATCCTACAAAGTGCAAAAATTAATCAAAACTCAGTGAAAAGAATCTAATGAATGCCATCAAAATAATTGCCAAAATCAAACAAAACCCATCAAAGAGGAACATAAATTAAATTAATTATACCCACAAAAATTCATATCAAATAAAAGAGTATACAATATTTGTCATAGACATTTCAACAAATACTTCACGTGCATTACGATTAAGAGCAAATCAATATCAAATATCATGCATCACTGGTTGCCGAATGAGAGAAAGGGGAAGGAGAGACAAAGAGAAATAGGAAAGAGAATGAGACAGTAAGAAGGAGATACCTAGCAGTGTTGCTGGTGGGTGTGGGTGTTATAGGAGCAGAAAGAGGTGGAGAGATAGCAGAAGGCAAGAAACATACCTAGTGAGTGGGTGTTGGTTGTTTGCAGTTGGGGGCAGATGAGGAAAGGGGGCTAAGGCGCTGGTTAGTAGAGGGGTGGTACTCCGGTGAATGGCTGGTGGAGTTACTGGTGATCGCTGGGTTTCGACAATTGGGGTTGTCTTTGGGATAATAAAGATGATGAGAGAGTGAGAGAGAGGTAGAAGTGAGAGAGAGGGGCATGAGAGAGAGTCCGTATGAGAGCGAGAGAGAGACGTATATGAGATAGGAGTGTAGAGTCTTGCGATCAAAGGTTTTTTCATGAGCGGGAAAATAAAATTCAATACTCACTGTAGACTGTTAGATCATAATTTTTAAAATGATCTGAACCATCTTTTATGTTGAGATTACATTGTCCGTGAATGTATTTATGTTTTGACTCAAAACGATCTGGACCTCTCTTTGTCTTTTGGATTCAAACTTCGTTCTACTTTATTATATAGATTGTATTATTGGATTGAGTGATAGTTGATGTGATAAATTTGTGAGTCTTATAAATGAGCAAGATTTTATTTATTTATTAATGATTGTAAATTTCAATAAATTATGTTAGTATTTTTTTTTCCCGAGACATTTGTATATATGATACTGTTTTGGGAAATTTTTATATATTTTTATGACAATTCCATTAATATAAAAGATATAGTTGACAATATATTTCGAGTCATTTTAAAAAAAATTGTATGAATATTTTTAGGTCATTCTTTTTTAATTTAAACAATTGTTTGCAATTTATTTGTTTGTTTGTTGTATAATGCCTTCAAGTATGAGTAATGATAAGTATATATATACACTAAAAAGTTAAATTATATATTTGGACACAATTAAGTTTTAAAAATAAGGACTTAATGACATAACATTAAGAGTTCTGTACTTTTTGATAATTAAGTCTAATTTTGTGTACCTTTTTATAATTTTTCTTTAAAAAAAAAAATCCTGAATTAAATCTCAATCGCACTTCATCCCCTATATTTTTATGAGTTTCACTTAATCTCTCCAACTTATGAACAAACTACAAATGTTAACAAAGGTAACAGTTTATATAAAAAGATTAAACTACTCTCTGATTGCAATCTAATTTTTTTTTATGTCATTATTGTAGAATACTTACCTTTAAAAAACAAAACTGGCAATTAGCAAACGACCTGGTCAGACTTATTTTCCATGAAGATTTCATTGGCATGATTAGATTTAAGTTTCGTGTTATGTGTACGCTCGAATTTGTATTTGAAGTTTAAAGTGATAATTAGATTTTCAAATAGATTACGGAGGAAACAATCTTTTCTTCCTCAATTGAGGCTTAAGATTGTTATGGGGTTGTAGTACAATGTATTGGAGTGCTTGGAAGCCATTGTTGATGCCCGCGTGTATGTGTGTGTAGTGAAGAAACGCATTAGGGTTTGGAAACTTGAAAATTAAAACTTTGAAAAGCTTGTTAAAACTTCAAAATTGGGGTTGGGTCTAGCTAATTTGGGGTCAAAGAATTCAAAAATAACTTTAAATTTGTGAAAGCAAATTGTTTAATGGGTCAAAAAGCGAATTTACAAGTCTGGAGAGAGAGGAAGATGAAGGATAAAATTAATAATTTAATTTTTAATTTAGGATAGAAATTATTTATTTTATAACACGCGCTTAATTAGCGTGTGCAATTACCGCGCCATTATAATAAATAGATTCTGTAAATTTGCAGTTTGTTTAAAAGTTAGAGGGGGTTAAATGAACCCTATAAAAATAGAAAGGGTGAAATGAGATAGAGGCTTAGTACATGGAGTTTTTTATATTTTTACCCAAATGAAAAATCTAATTCTACAAGGATTAATAAAATACTTGAACATAAAAAAGAAAAAAAAACAGGTATATTTCTTAGACAAGGCATGTTTTAACGGATTTGTCATATCCAATGGATCATGTTTAACACCAGACTAATCTATTTATTATTTATATTGTGTTACTTTCAAGTTTGTATCAAATTTATCGATCTTAATCTATAAAATTTCTCGTCGGATCCATGTGGTGTTAATAGGTCAGGTGAAAAATTAGTGCCCTGGCTTTTGGCTTTAGACAAATACCATCCCTAGTCCCAAAAAGATCACGGATATATAAATATTAAGAGACGGGGTTTTCAAGTATACGTTTGTGTTTGGTCAGCCACAAAAGCTCTTTTTTTTTTTTTTTTGGGTGGTGAGGTGGGGTTAAGCAAAACGACGTGAAAAAAACTTCAAACTCTTATAATGTTTTAAACTCATCCATGTGTGGATTCCTTGTGTGCTTTGATCACAAAACAAAGAACCAACATTGTTTAACTTTAACCACATTTACAATCGGAAGCTTCTTTTAAAAACATTTGTTTGACCGAAGATTATGACATAATTCTCCTTGTAATTGGACCGGGAAGGACTTAATCCACTTCCGTGAAAATTGATTTGGAACCACCGACCGCGTAGATTAACTGATGAGGGATTATTTTAGCTTAACTAAGGTTCTCATTTCGAGATTTGAGAATACAGCTACGTTTGTTAGGGAGAGTTTTGCCACTCTTGACATAATTCTCCTTGTAATTGGACCGGGAAGGACTTAATCCACTTCCGTGAAAATTGATTTGGAACCACCAACCGCGTAGATTAACTGATGAGGGGTTATTTTAGCTTAACTAAGGTTCTCAGTTCGAGATTTGAAAATACAGCTACGTTTGTTAGGGAGAGTTTTGCCACTCTTGCGGTCCTATCTGGCTCGAATTCGGATTAGTTAGAGTTTGTTGTGACTATCGGATACTGGATAGTCTGACCATAAAAAAAGAAAATTGATTTGGACACCTAGACGTTAATGCTAATAAAAAAAAAAAGGGGGAAGAGAGAGAGAAAGAGATAAAGTTAAGCTATATTGCGAAAATAATGATTGGGTCAAGTTTTTAAGAGCAACTTCAACCCATTTTTTATTTTCTCTTTTTTAGTTATTTTAATTAATTAAACACTAAAATAACTCTCTAGCCTACTACTTACTTCTTATTTCACCTAAATGGCTCTTCAAATGTGAAGAGCTGTTCGATTTTGCTAAATTCTCTTTCTATGTCTTTTTATCTTTTATCTCTATATATATGTTGTAATTTTTTTTAAATTATTAGAAGTTACTTAAAATTAGGTGAAGTTGTTAGTTAAAATAGAGAGTGTGAGCGAAATAAACTTGTAAAAGTGATTTTCTAAAGTAGAGAATATAATATTTAAATATATTTTAAATAGTTAAAATAGAGATATGGGTTAGAATTGCTCTACGTTGTTTATTCCTTCTCCACTTCAAAATTTGTGGTTTGAATTTTGAGTCAAATTAACATTAAAGGCTGCTTAGTTTTCAAAAGGGTCCCTCTTGTATTGATTAGTGTGGCCGGCACGCAATGCCCCGTTGGAAACAAAACTCCATAGAATATAGTGGAGTATTTTTTTTTTCAATCTTATCATTTCCATCGTCACATTAATTATATGTTTATCAATAATATTTATTATTAGGACCCAAAATAAATTATTATTATTTTTTTAATTAGTGCATAATGCCCAAAACATGTAATTAACAGTAAAGACTTATAGAAATGATAAATCATACAACTCTATTTTTGTATATTTATTTTTTTTAAGCATATAAATCTCAACTCCTTTAACTATCAAATTTTAACCATAAAAACATATAATTACATAAATTAACAATGTAAAAATTAATCTGTAAATACAATCATTGAAAAAAATTCATCTAATTATGTTTTTTTCACTTTATCTTCCACATTTTGAATTAATTTAAATAAAGAATTATTGTTTTAAGACATAAAAAAAAATTCAAACATTCAAAACTACAACATTGTATTTAAGACTTTTTATACTACATAAAATTCACTCCCCCCCAAAAAAAATTGTGGTTTGAATTTTGGGTCAAGTTAACATTAAAAGCTGCTAAGTTTTCAAAGGGTTCCTCTTCTATTGCCTAGTGTGGCCGGCACGCAATGCCTCATTCATATGAAAACTCACTTGTTTCAAGAACATTGTCCAAATTAGTTTTTGACTGCGAATTGCTTTGATTAGAATATGAAGCAGGGAATAGCTTATGTATTCGTTTGAGATGATCATAAACTTGGTTTCTTAATCTGGGTTTTGTTTGCTACTCTCAAATTTAACATGTAATCGCATGAAGTGTCATATATATTCTATTATTAAGTAGTAACAGAAGCCTGCTTACACTCTTTTGGAAAGCTTTTTCGCATGAAAGATCTTCCCAAACGTAGTAGGAAACTTTGGATGAGTAGGTGCCATCAAAGAAGTCGACATAATCTATTAATTCAAAGACCATTTATTTCCTGGGAATTCTTCTTAGATAACAGGCAAAGAAAATACATAAGAAAGCAATGAATTCTCACAAACCATACTTCTGACAAAGTTTGATTGCACACAACAATCAACCTATTTCATGCTTTTGTTTTTTTTTTTTTCATGATAATTTATTGGTGGTACACCTCTCAAACCCAAATAGAAGTAGAAATTTTGTGCGCCGAGTACGACCATCTATGAGCGCTACCTATGTGATTGTGCTAATGCAGCTGCAAATTCATCGATGTTCTTATCTGAACTTCCACCTTTATCAACAGCTTCAATGGCCAAAGTCTTCCATTTGCTTGAATTCTTTTTAATCTCTCTTCCTCTCTCTCCCTCCATCACCTCCTTTATGCAACACTCCAACTCTCCTCTCCTCACAATGCCCTTCTCATCTGCCTTAGTTCTCAGCCCCATGCACCAAACATCCTCCACAAACTTTGCATTGGTTCCTTGATCAGTCCACTGTGGTATTGCCACCATTGGCACTCCCAAGCATATTGCCTCAAGAACAGAATTCAACCCACAATGTGTCACAAAACACCCAATTGCCTCATGTTCCAGCACCTCCAATTGTGGACTCCATGACACAATCAAGCCCTTTTCGAGTGTTGGGTCATCGATAAACTTGCTTGGAAGCTTTGACTGTTCAGATGCCCTGACCGCCCACAGGAAGTTGAAGTTGCTGTCCTTCAAACTCCAAGCTATTTCCTCCATTTGCTCCTCTCCAAGCTCTGCCATGCTTCCGAAGGATACGTAAACAACTGAGCTATTTGGTTTACTGTTTAACCAATTCATACAGGCGCTGGAGTTTGGCTTGAAGATATTGATGCCATAGTCAGTATCCTCTTTGAGACGTTTGTCCAAATACTTTGATGGTAGTGTTGGTCCTATTGTCCTTACCCTCCAAAGTTTTGCCACCCAATCCAGTACCTAGTGACAGGAAGGTGAACATATCAAAAGCAAATTAAACTAGAGCTATTAATCAAATTGAGTTTTTCAAATTTGATTATACTTAGATTTAACATCATTGTGAGTGACTGAGATTGGGCCTGAGTTTGAATTTTTTTCTCAAGTTCAAAAGCAACTTTAAACGGTAGTTCAATTAGTAATAAAGACTAGTTGTAAATTCAGACGTTCTGAATTCGAATCTTGGTAACCCTTTAGGACCAAATCATACGAAATAAATTTCTCATGAATACCCTAATTCCAACATGAATAATTTTAATTAGACCAAAGAAAAAATTAATCGAAATACATGTAAATTAAGCTCGACGGCTAGACACTCTTTAACCGTTGACCAAATATAACAACAACAAAAGAACTTTTGCAATCATTGGAGTTATTTGAACAAAAATCCATTACAATTTCTCGAGAAAAAATTTCAAAATTACACCTGACTCAATAATCTCACCTTAAATAATCAATTATTAATGAAAATCTTTCAAATTTCTACAATCAACCATGTGTAACCAAATCCTAAAGTTCAAATTTCATAAAAAACCTACTAGAAGTGTATACAATCTAGACCTATTCTAGGATTAGTTTGGGGTTCATCTTTCGGATAGTGGTTGTTTTATAATTAAATCAAAACTATTTATAAACAGAAGCAAATTTGAGTCAAGTGGAGTCTATTCGAGGCAAGTCAGATATTATTTGAATTTGACGAGTTTACAAAATGAACTTAAAAATCTAATCAAATTCAATCTATTTTGTAATTTGAAAGGCAAAATCAAGTCAAACGCAAGCTCGAACAGGTTGAATCTTTAAATGGCCCTAACTCAAAAAAAGAAAAAAAAATCTCAAGAATTATTGCAAGCATATATAGCAAAAGACCACATACCTCTTGCTCCAATTCATAGAAAGTGTTGAAAAGAACCCAATCTGCTCCATCAATGTTAGAGAACTGATTGACAACCATGTCATAGAAACCCGGGTATGACCCATAAATATATACAAAGGATGGTGTCTCCCAATTTTCCAGAAATGGCAATCCGGGGAGTGAAACATTTTTACCAGAAAGAGGAAGTGGAAGAAGGCCCTTATGCACATGATAATATATACTATTCACAGCACAAGACTGAGTGAAAAAAACAACTCCCACAATCCCAAACTGCTTAGCAACATCAAGTGCCCAAGGTAAGAACCCATCATAGATAAGGGCATCCACAGGGTGGCCTGAAGCATCAAGTTTCTTGATCAGATCTGCCAAAGTTTCTGACCCGGCGATTCGGAACATTTCCAGGTATGCCTCGGCGCTCCCAGCTTGTTCATAGCCACCGTCGTCGTAGCCGTCGGAGATAGTCTCGAAGGTGATTGAGGTTCCGGGATGGGCATGCATGGATTTAGAGATAAAGACACTGTTCGCAAATGTGGCTTTGATATCTCTGGTGACCAAACGCTTGCAGAATTGAAGCATGGGGTTTATGTGGCCTTGGGCAGGGTAGGGAAGGACCAGAACATGAGCTTTGTAGGGTTTTGTGTACTTCTGATCATCCATTTCTATGCGCAGAGCATAAGGATTCTCAAAAATGTTTTCACAAACACACACACACCTGTGAGGGGTTTGAGGTAAATAATGTTGATCGACAACGTTTGTCACAGATGGTTTAATGATGGAAAAATTACAGTTTGACCCCCTCAACTATGATTTATTTCTATATTATCCTTTAACTATCATATTTTTCACATTACGTCCTCAAATATGTGATTAGTTTGACGTTACCAATAATAAAAAAAAATCAATGACAAGTTATTTCAATTTTCCCCCAAATTATACAATGGTGATTTCGTCCAAAAATATAGAAAACATTTGGAGTTTGCGATAGTCTAAAACAATTCAATTATTCGAGGTGTCATACAAAAAATTTAATAGTTCAAGAAGTAAAGTAAAATCGAGTCTATAGTTAAGAGGATCAAAGTAAAATTTTTCCTTCAATAATTTGGATAGCGGAGAGAAATAGGATGAGAACTACTGATAAATATATAAAAACATAAATATGAGGCTGTCACAATTGGCCTGGAAAAAAACATAAAGGTTTGCCAAGAGATTTCTCCCTCCTCTCCCAACCACTCCCGCCTCGAGGATAAAATATTCATTATAACGGTGATATCATATTAATATTATCATGTGATATCATCAATTAATAATATACAAATAATAAATAAGTGAACTTCACACAAACCATTAAGTACCCGTCTATACAAACAAATAACTATTCATTCTTTTTTCGTATAAATTAATAAATATTCAAATGAAATTTACTTTATTCGTTTGGGCCCAATCCCGACCCCACTTCTTTTGCATGGACAAAAAGTCCTTGTTGGCCTCCGTAGTATTTGATGGTGTATTTCAACCTGATGTAATTTTGTGATGACGAGTAAATGAAAGAAATAATCTTGGAATTATTAGGATCTGAGCTATTAGGCTCGATGGAGTGATACTGAGAATTATTGGGGAGTTGGGAAATTAACACAGTAGAAATATAGTGATTCACAGGCTCAAAAGCTCGGTTAATCCACTCTTCAATGGATATTCTTGTTCATTCCTTCACTATTCACTATATCAAAAAGGGTTACAGAATGTACAATGTGATACTAGGGTTCTTGCCCCTCTGTTGGGGGCGTTACATAGTATTTATAGGGGTATCCCTTAATCTATGAGATCCGATACGTGATCCTTGTCATCTATCCGAGGAATTCTCCTTAGTCTTAGGAGAGTATCTTGGTTGTTTGAGGATTTTGTGTCTTGAGTGTTATTTCAAACTGTCTTTCGAGTTCTTTGTAGTATCCAGTTGCTACCTCCTTGCTTCAGCTTATTATCTCGCTTTGAGGGGAGCTCTAGCTCTAATTTTCTGAGCTCTGAATAGCTCTGACCTTCTAAGCTCAACTTACCTGACCTCCGTTCTCGAGCACTAACTTGGGAATCATTCTGAGTATCACCAGTTACCCCCCAGCTCTTAGCCGAGCTAGCTTGGGCAAGGGCTGAACTTAGGATGTAACAGTAAGGGCTTCCCAATCAGTTTACGCAAGAATATATATATATATATATATATATATATATATATATTTATTTTTATTTTTGAAGCGGTTGTCAGTAATTATTTCCTTCCTCGTTCCTTGCGCACGTTACCCATTTCGAGGCCCAAGGGACCTTTAGCTCTAAATACCCTTGGATCACCGATTTGTTCCTCACTCTACAGATTCTTCTTGGCTTCCTTATCCTTTCACGACTTCATCTTCCCCATTCTGCCACTAGTTTAGGGTTTTCTCTGAGGGACGGTTACCCCAGTTTCGACTTTGAGGCTTAGCTTGATTTGGTATTGAATCCCCTCCTCGAGCTTTAATCCGCCACCAATTCGCGGTTAGATACGTTTTCCCTTTCTTTTCCAGCTCCTTGCCCTGGATCCCTCAAGCCTGAAGTGGTTTTGGCATTTTTGGGTCTTTCGATTCTGCTACGCCAGGAGCCGAAGTATCCACTTGTCTCGTCTTCCTTTCTTCTTGGACCCTTACTCCACAGTTAGGATTTTCGTCATTGGTTTTCGATGTCTTGCTCCTTGGGCTCTCAAAGAGTGTTTCTCCGAGGTCCCCCCTCTTTATAGGTCTTTTAAGCTTCCTTATTCTTGTCCAGTTATGTCTGCTTCCTCTGATGCTACGGGATCGTCCGTTTCGCTAATGAAAGATGGGTTTGTTGAGGAAGATTCCGACCTGGGGGATGTGGGGTTAGAGATAGATGATTTTCCTGGAGTGGACTCTGTCAATGTTGAGGGAGGCATTGAGGAGCCTCCTCTTACCCTGAAATCTCTAAGTAAAGGTAAAACCAAAGTAAATGGCGTGGGAATTTCAAGCAATGTTGAGGGTGGTATTGCTACCCCCAGGGCCTCCGAGCTCGTGGGGTGTAGTGACATTGTACCTTATTACATAAAGGTGATGGCTACCCGCTTTGGGTTTCCTCAAGGCCTACAGTTCTGGAGTCTGGATACGTTTACCTTATACGATTCCTCTATCCCTAAAAAGGTATGCTTCTTCCTGGCTGCTTTTGAGAATGGCCTCCGCTTTCCTCTGCATCCTTTCATTAAAAATATTTCGCAACATTTCAATGTCTGTCTTGCCCAGCTTTCTCCTAACTTTTAGGGGGTGCTGGTTGGTCTTCTTGTCTTCTTTAAGAAACATGATCTGGGTGTTCCCAGCGTGTCTTTGCTCATGAAATTCTTCAATGTCAAATATCTCCCCACTGATGGCTTTTTGTACATCTCCAAACCAGTGAAAACCAAGGTTCTTATCTTTGATCTCCCAATCTCCCAAAAGCGATGGAAAAAATTATTCTTTTTCGTGTGGGGGAAGGAATGAGAGTTCAATCCTGTCGACGTGACGGACACTCTTTCCGTCCCTCGGAGGTGGTCTGCCCTTGACAACTTGGGTGAGCTTCTTTTTATGCAAGTTGGAATAAGTTCTAGCTTCCCTTAGGCTGACCTTGTATGGCTGGTTTCGTTTCTCAGGCATCCGGCCAGACCTTAATGCCGCAGACAAATAGGTCTTAAGGAACTTGGTGAACTGCAAATCGGAGAGGTATTCAGAGCTAATCCGACCTCAAGTCCTTGTAAGGCTTAGGTTTAGTCCTCTTGAAATGAGGGTAGAAAATTCGTCCCCTCTTTCTGGCATTAGTGCTGAGGAATTGGCAGGTATTATCCCTTTCACCTCTGCCCCTGCCTTTTACATCTTCTCCTTCTCCTCTTTTTTTTTTAACAGTTCTTTCTCGATTTTTCAGGTTCTTCCTTAATGGAGCATACTACAAAGGATCGATCTAATAAATTATCTATGATGAGGAGGACTTGAGCTGAAAGCAAACGTAAGATTGAGGTCAGCCCAGGGGATGATCCAACTGTCGAAGTCAAAGCTCTGTGATTGGAATCGTCCTCTGTAACTCAAATGGAGCCCTAATCCTCTTTTGGCATTTCGGAGGTTGCAAGAAGCTCCTTTCTTCAAAGACGGGACTGCCCTCCTCTGGTAAGGTCCCTAACCTAAGCTTGGTCTCCACCCTTCCCTCTACAGGTGAGATCGAGAAACCTTTGGAGACGGTTTCTCCCCTCTTGCCTGGAGCCATCCCTTCTTGCCCAGCTGTGGGGCCTCCTCAGAAGGCTCCTGGGATACGTAAGCATGAAAAAGGGGGAATACAGAAGCAAGTTCGGGTTCTTTGATTAATAACGTGAAAAGAGCTGCAGAGGCCATTGCTTTCATTCTCCCCGAATCTAATATCCAACGAGCTTCCACCATGCCTCTTAGGAACTCTATATCTACAGCTCTTTTTGCTTCTACCTCCGTAAGTTTTTTGTTTTTCGTGCATACATGTTTTGTTCATTTTGCTCCTTCTTATCTGACCTTTTCTCACTTTCAGATTGCCCTCCATGTTAGCAGGCTGCTGAAGAGGATCCAAGCCATGGAAGGTTCAGTTAAAGCTTCCAAGGCTTTTGAACTCAAGGTTGCCGAGCTGTCCTTTGAGAATAGTGACCTCAAGGCCCAGGAGCAGGTGGAGAAACATACCTCCTTAAATAGGAGTTTGGAAGAGGTGAGGGAGGAGATTGCACATGAGGGAAAGAGCTGCAAAGAGGAACTTAAGAAAACAAAATAAGAACTCAGGAAAACCTCAGGGAAACTTAAGCAGAAAACAGATAATTGGCTCAGAACCAGTCGGGAGTCTCTCGAAGCTTCAAGTTCCTTCCAAACTATAAAGAGAGAATATGACATTATTACGGAGACGAGTGACGTCCTCCGGAATGAACTCAAGGAAAAAGATTGCTTAATTGCCAAACTGGCTGATGATGTCACAACTCGGTGGGCCTCTAGGTGGCTTACTTTTCAGGATAGGGCTGAAGAGATCTACCCTAAACTGGATTTCAATTTTGATCCCCCTGCTGAGGACAAGGCGGTCGACTCTGATCTCAACATTGTTCCCCCTCCTACCCTAAGGTTGCTTCCTTCTCAGTCGACCTCGTCTCCGAGGCACTAGCCCTGAGCTCATCTCTAGTGGAGGTCGAGATTCCTGCCTGAACGACTCCTAAGATTCCTTTTTCTCTACCTGCTCCAGGAACTACAATGACTACCGAGGTTCCATCCCCTTCTCCAATGGAGGTTTCAAATTTTCTAGCTATTTTTTCTGTCGAGCTCCCAGGCTCCTAATCTGCTCATGTTGCCAAAACTTCAACTTCTGAACTACAGAACCCTTCCCCAAATCCACCTTCAGAGACTTAGGATTTTATTTTGAAATATGATCAAAAATTTGTAACTATGAGCTCATTTTGAAAATGTAACTTCTCTGGTTTTGAGTTGTACAGCTGACTCACAACTTTCTTAACTGTTGTTACAGTATATGACCCCTATAAGACTATGCCTTTGAATTTTCATCTTTGAGCTGTGCATTTTTACTTTCTTCCCTTGTCCCCTTTGCTTTAAGGAGTGCTGAGCTCTTCTTGAAGCAAGAATGCTTTGGGAGTTTCATACTTGAGCTCATTGGATGAGAGTAAGGGGTAAATCTTATCACTAGTTACTCCCTGTGTTTCATGCTGGCTTTGACGA